GTTCGTGAAAGGACGCAGGCACAGTGTTTATCTGCTCTGCCATCTTGAATCTCTCCGTTTTTGGATTCTATCAGCACACAGATGTTAGGCTGCATGGGACCAAGAGGCTGAGTTCAGCTAGAGTAGGGGTCCAGAACTGAACCTTGAGGTATTCCAAGGTCAGAGGTTGGGAGAATGAGAAGCTAGTGGACTGAAGGGCAGCGAGGTAGAAGTGGGGTCCTGAACAATGGGGAGTTTGCAAGAAAGAGTGATTAACTCATCAAATGCTAACACAGGACTGAAACTGACCACTGGATAAGTGGCTGCCTGGGGCTGAGGCAGGGGTGGCGAGTTGAAGAGAAAGAATGTGCTAATGGGTGTAAGATTTCTTTTTGGGTTTAGGTAATGTTTGCACAATTCTGAGAATATACTGAAATTACTGAATTGTACAACTTAAATGGATGAATTGTGTGGTACACAGATTACATCACAAAGCGTTATTTAAAAATTGAGCATTGGATTTGGCACATGGAGGTCATTGCTGACCTTGAGTAAAGCAGTCTGGTGGAGTGACAGCAGCAAGGGCCTGACTGAAAGGATTCAAGAGAGAGTGGAGAGGAGGAACAGAGAAATGTGGCAATGCTAGGGAGAGAACACCACAAACATTTTTTAAAGATCGAGGAAGAAAATCGTGTTTGTTTGCTGTTAGGAATAATCTAGTAAAGAAGCCAAGATTGATGGTGCAAGAGGAAAAATGACAAATTAAGTACAGCTGTGAAGCCTCAAGGTGACGTGAAGGCACTGACCTTGGACTCACACTACCAGGAGGAAGGAAGGAAAGGGCATGTGGACACACGCAAGCAGGAAAGGAGAGATGGGGGCTGGCGGTAGTGCTGAGGACTTCTGTTTATGCAATTAGGGAGCATGGTGACCAGCCGCGTGAGAAAAGCAGATTAACTGGGAAAATAAAGTATAATTAATGGGCAGTCCTGGGGCCCACCTGAGACTTCTGATCATGAGGTTCAAGCCAGAATAGTCACGATTGTATTTTTCAGTCACTTGTGGCGATGCAGGGCACAGCATGTGGAAAGCTGGGACTAACCCAGGCTGGGACTATACAAAGCTGAATTCATGAGAAGAAACAGTACATGGGACACAGTTTATATTGCTGAACACCAATATGCCACTTTATTATTTGGATTTTTTTCCCATTTGTCACATACCTGTCAATGTTTACACAGTGAGGAAAATCAATCAGCAGTGGAAGCAACTGACCAAATCAGCTGATAATTCTGTACCCTCTTAACACACATCAATTCTTACTTGGTAGAAATAATCTTTAATTTGACTCAGTCTCACGACTATTCTTAAAATAGGTGTCAAGATTGTCACATCTTTAAATACAGATAGAATTGTCATAAGTACATAATTTCATATATACACACACACAGATATGTGTGTGTATATATATATGTATATGTATATATATATATATATACACACACACACACACACACACATACAGAAAAATACAAGACTAATTGTTTTTCCACAATATTTAATTTACACACTACTGTTAACTCTATGCAACTTCTGAAGAGAGGTTAAGGGGTACAAGAAACTCTTTAGAGCAAGTAAGTAGTTTGGTCCAATATTATCATAATGTAATGGTTATTCGCTCCCTCCCTTTTATGTGACGACATACTATGACATACAACACATGCACAATCATTCACTTATGAACAAATAAGGAAGACGCCACTCAGACTAACATTTGTCTACCCAGAGGGCCAACCAACCACACACAACTAATAAGGCTATAATACAGCTATGCAGCATAAATGGTCAACACTGCTGATCCTAAAGTGAGCACCATATATACATCTGAATATAAAAAAACCATTGAAAACCAAACACATATGGGTTAGTTAAAAGGTGCCATTCCAAGGCTATACATAATCACAGGAAAAAGTATTTACATTACTTGGAAAACAGCTGCAACAAAGAGTTTATTGCCAATGCCCTTTATAAACTTCTCTCCCACGTTTAATACAGATGTTACGCTCACTATCCGTGTGAACCACACATCTTATTTCTGGCCCTTTATAAGATCCCTGCTCAAGAATTTCAAGCAAATATGTTCTATGGCTTCACCCACACGTCTATTCTCGTAGCTTTCAATTATAAATATCACAATGAACTAGAGCTGTAGCTTAAAACGTATCTAGCCTAGGTCTAGAAAGTAAAATAAGTATTTTAAGTATTATTTTTACTTAGCTTAGTAAGTATACAGTGAAATTCAGAGATCTGAGTAAAATATATGAATCCTAAAGTAGCAAGATCAGTGTGTACTTGGAGAAACCATGACCAATGGAATGCCATGCTTTGGTGCTCTGCCCACCCTACAGACCAGGTGACTGTCATTTCAGAGACATTACTGGAGGCTGATGAGTGTGGGAGGGCCCCCAGGGCCCAGCCACATCCTATCACCAATGTCACTAAGCATTGCTTATAAGACCCCCAGGGCACAGCATGAAAAAGTAGCATCTGGCCCCTTCCAAAATCAGCAGTCTGCAATATACGGGGTCCTACAGAGAAATTGCCACAAATATGATTATCTGGTCAAAAGTAGTCTTTGTACAGGAATAGTTTAAAGCAAGAGTTCTTTGATTATTGTTTTGGCAGGAAGGCAAAGTGACAAACACTTCCAGCAAAAAAACAAAAAACCACCCAACAAAAAATAACAAAAAACAAAGCAGGCTTTGTGCATTTTTATTTGCTGTGTGAATTTTACCCTTTTATGTATATTTTTTGATCAACCAATTTTCAGAGCTAATTGAGCTAAAGGATGTAAAATGGAAATAACAAGAGTTAACCTAATTACCAAACTCTTAAAAATCAAATCCATATACGTATATGGATTGTTTAAATTTATGGGGTTTTTACTTTGCCAACCTGTGTACCTTTGTTTCATATTAGGCCCTAGTTTCTTCTGTCTACATGGTTTTAAAGGAAACCCTGGGCTGTGCCCTCCCGGAAGGAATTTACACGGAGCATCTCTGTGTTCTGTTAAACAGACACACACTAAGTAGAGTTAAGACACCATCAGTTCACTTTATCACATTACAAAATAAGATTGTCTGCTTGTAATTTATCACTACAGGGGAAGCTGCCTTATAGATCTAAGTACTTCATCTCATCTATTACAAAACAAGAAAATCTTTTTCAGTTAAATTTTAAGCGCCCGAACTTTTTTTCACACTATAGCTTAAGACAAACAGGTGTGGGTATGTTGAAATCACGGTTTTAAGGTTCTAGTGCAGACGCTGGCTGTCTGCTCCGCACAGGCCTTGGAAGGCAGGCAGGCGCGTCGCCGGCTCCAGGCCTGTGGGCATCACCACGTTATTGCTTTGGTTCTGTCTCAGACACCACCGAGTGTGCCTCAGAGCACGAGTTTCCATATCACAGAAGGTCAGGACAGGAATTTAGATTTTTCACAAGGAAACAAAAGCATTTTTCCTCTCTAGGTTAAGTGCAGAACATCAAATTTCTAAGTGCTCCATTTCTATTAGGTTCCAAATACACATTTTAATTTCAGCCTGATCATCCACATTAAACTGATGAATGTAAAAATTACACAATAGACTTTTCGGCAGGAAAAGTAGTATCTAGCAGCAGCATGCACAAAAACCATGCATTGTCACATCGCCAGGCGAACAAATGACAAAGTAATAAATAATTGCCCGCTTTTAAAATAGTAAAACCAGAAAGGAAACAGTGAAGGGAGCCGGTCTGCACCGCTCTGAGCAGGAGGCGCGCTGGCGGCCAGGCCGGGCCGCGGTCAGATGACGTGGCAGCAGCTGGCGGGGCTGGAGGCGCACAGCAGCCCCTCCTTAGGGTTCCGCTGGATGTTCACAGAGATGGTCTTTTCACACAGAGGTAGCTGGAGCACGTTATTTTTCAGGTTCTTGCTCTTTATCCGTTCTAAGTCAGCGGTGCTGTCTGCCACGTGGTCGGAGAAAAACTTGATGCCGCCGAGCGCCGGGGCAGGGCCCGCGTTCCCCGAGGAGTGGATGCACATTTTCCACGAGGACTTCTCCTGGACCTTCACGCTGGAGAACGACAGGCCGCTCTGGGGGTCGATAATGTACTTGGCGCCCCCGTGGAGCTGCGAGCCCAGGCAGAGGCCCATGAGTTTCAGGCTCTGCACCAGCTCGCCCGCGCCGCGCGCCGCCAGCTGCGTGGAGTTGGCGGGGCCGGCGCAGCGGCGCGCGCTGCCCGACGTGCCGCCGGGGGCGCCGCCCGAGCCGCCCGCGGGGCTGCCGCCGCCCGCGCCGTTCTCGCCGGGGCTGGCCTTGTCCGCGCCGCCGCCGCCGTTGCTCGGCTTGCTCTGGCCCCCGCCGTCGCCCTCGCTGCCCGGCGGCCCCTCGCTGCTGTCCCGGCGGTGCCAGGAGTAGGTGAAGCCGCTGTCCTTGTCGAGCCGCCGGCGGCTCTCGGAGTCGTCGTCGCTGGTCTCCGAGCTGCTGCAGCTGGACCCGCGGCCCTGGCTTTTCCGGCGGTGGTAGCGCTTGTGAACGGTGCCCGGGGAGGCGATGTTCATCTTCAGCCTGCTCAGCTTGGGGGGCAGGTTCTCATCCATGTCGAACTCGTCGTCCGACTCGCCCTCCTCGAAGATCTGGTTGAGGACCGGCGCGCTCTTCCTCGACGTCAGGCGGTTGGTCACGGACGGCTTCCGGCGCAGCACCACCTGCGTGGAGAGGGACACGGGCTTCTTGTCCTCCTCGTCCTCCTCTTCGTCCTCCTCCACTCGGAACAGGCACTTCCGCCCGCTGGCCGCGGGTTTCAGGCTGGCGGGCGGCACGGCGGCGAGGGCGGGGCCCGCCAGCTCGGGGAGCTCGTCTTTCTTGGCCGCGTCGCAGAGGCCTTTGCTCCTGTGGCCGTTGAGGACGCTGTCGGCCGCCCGGGCAGGAGGCTGAGGGACGGTCGCATGGGACAGAGGCGTGGCCGTGAGGTCGTCCTCAAGGTCCTGCGGGACGTCAATCTTGGTCGGCCACGACTGCCTGTGTGTCAGATTGGAGAAAGAAAAGCCATGTAACAGTGTTCAGACTCTGCTAACGTGCATTATATAAAACTTACTGGGGCAGGAGCTACAGACTTAAAAAGGAAAGAAAAGGAAAAAAGCAGCAGCAGGCTTGCAAACCCGTTCAACATCCTCTAAACTTCAGCAAGGACGCCGGAAGGCGAACGGGGCTGTGGAACGCGGTTCCTGCCGGCTGAGGCTCACTGAGCGAAAGGAAACCGCCACAGCGCTCGGAAGAGGGGCAAAGGCGACTCCATCTTTTCCACACAACAGTTCACGGCACAGGAGAGGCATGTTTCACAAGCACGAGGGAGTTTTCACCGAAGCCAAACCTGAACACCACACATGTTCTGTTCCTTTGGGTCTTGGAGCACAACCTTTGAAAGGTATACTATTGCTAATAAAATTCACCTGAAATTTCTAGTCCTTCAGCTGTTAAAGGATGGTGTAAAAGGCTGGTGTTTACAAAAACAAATGAAAATAATTAAATGGATTTAAATATGAGACTATTGGAGTGAAGGGTCAGTGTACACTGCATACATAAATCTCTTCTTCACCAATTAAAAAATGCACTAAGCTAAATATAAATATGTATTATTTTACAATAAATGCTCATACAAGAGTACTGGATAGAAAAATCCACTATTATTTAAACTTTGATTTTATTCCCCAATCTGGAGTCATCCAAGTAAAAGAACACTGCTTGGTAGCCAAAGAAAGACTTGAAAATGAGGTCTCTAGCCTGTTTTGAATAATCATCTTAGAATTCTCAACTGTTCTCTCTGCCCAGGGGACTAGTAGAGACATTTAAAACAGCCACTTCCACACTATGGCATTTTCATTTCACACCAATTATGTTATCCTAGAAATAAAACCCAATAAATCTATAGCTTTATAAAGCCTGTCGGAGTTTCTAAGACATCTTTCCCTCGACGCAGAATCTCCCCAGCTACTGAGGATGGCGTGGGTCCGTCAGCTCCGGTCACTGCTTGGCAGCTGGGGAAAGCTGCGTGCTCAGTAATGTTTTTGGGGTCAAGCAGCGTCTCTGGACAAGTCGTCTGTCCCCCACCAACACCACGGGACCAACTCCCGAGAGCCTTGTGGCCCTGAAGAGCGGCATACGCGTTCCCTTCAGGCTGCTCCTAAAAGAGCAGCCACTTGAAAACCTCACCCAGCAAACCCTGGGGGAGCCCTGGGCGGGAGCGGGGCGCTGACAATGTGATCCACCAGAGAGGGGGACAGTCCATTCCCAGGGACGGGGAGGGGCGTGCATGTGACGAGGCTCTTCTCCCCTCCCCTCCCCTCTCAGCTCAACTTAAAGCCAAAAGCACTCTCAGAACCCAGCCCTGGAAACACTGCAGGGGGAGCGGTCACTCCATCAGCCACATCTGAACCAATGGCTCTTATTTCCACAAGTAAATCAAACTGCTAAGGCGCTCACATCTACTGAGCACAGATCTGAGCCCAAAGCTGTGCTACACCAAATAAGTAATCTGTATAAACACAACATTGTGAGAAAAGTGTGGCTTGTTGTCACGAGAGAGGAGACTGCCAACAAGAAGGATGAGTCACACTGACAAGGCTCACACCGCCAGAGCAGCACTGCTGACAGCCTGAAGGGAGTCATTTACTTAATCCCACAATTCCATGAGGCACGTGCTATTATCCCCCTTGACAAATGAATACATCAAAACACTGGGCGGGTACGTAACCTGCCCAGGGTCAGACAGGCTTGATGACAGTGACATCTAGGTTGGATTCCGTGGTCACTAACTCTCCAGGGCAGTGGCTGCCCTCTGTCACCTGTGACGCCCTCTGAATGAATGCCTGTTGAATGGCTGGGATGCTGCGGTCAGGCTGGTGGTTCTCCTCACCTAGTCTCTCTGAGAGGATGCGGGCACTGAGCCTGTCCATGCTGAGAGCAGCTCCCCAGAGGACTGCCCAGGCTTCTTCTAACAGAAAGACCACACATTGTTCCCATCTCACACTGGTGAGACCCAAAGAACGTATCCACACTCTAGCGGGCTCTCCCCGGCTTGACCCGAACACCTGTCCCCACAGAACTAACTATGCTGGTTTAGACGCCGGCCTCCTGACTCAGCCCAGGTTTCTACATCCTAGGTCACTCTGACCACAAGGCACACTTAAGCAACAGAACCAAGTGAGGCCCAGGGTTTTGACATTAAAGTCACAGCGACCTAGAGAGGAGGCGAGTAAGCAGCCATCACCGCCTGCCAGTGGGCCCTGGGCCATAGGAGGGAGAGGCCTTCACAGCAGCTCCACTCCAGATTCCCCAAGGAGGGCAGAAGGAAAATTGGGTGGAAGGCTCCGATGCTTCTTTATAGCTACAGCTGACTTCATAACTTCTAGACAAAAGTAAAACCAATTTAACTCAGTTACAGATTTGATCACTTTTCAAGTGAGTTCTGTTTTGTTTCAATGAACAGAAAACAGCTCAAAGCCAAATATCCAAAAGACCGGGGTGGCCCATGTGCGGTGACTGCTCTGAGGTTGTGCTTTCCCACGAGGGGACTCAGGTCAGGACTAGGTTGACCCGACCGTCTTAATGTCACTCGTGGTTTGTCCCACGCCCAAGAGTCCCTGGCTCCGTGGGGCCCAGTCCTTTTCCAAGCAGACACCAGACAGCGTGCCTAGTTTTCATTACAGAAGAATACATCCAGGATATAAATGAAGTCACTAAACTCAGGTTCTGGTTCTAGACTTCTCTCTCTTTATTCTTTGGGCCCATTCTTCTGTCTTCTCTGTCACTCCAGCCCAAACAACAACCTACACACAGCAAGATGACTGCAAATAATTTAAAATCCAACGGCTTTCTTCCTCTTTTAAATAATTATTATATATTCACATAGATGCATATATAGTTGGATATACAAGTAGAGAATTATTCAGAATCAGGGGCATCCTTCGGTTTTTGAATCACTATGGTTCCAAGGGTTACTTTTCTGAATGAATAGATAAGCATTATGAATTCCAAATAAACTTCATGATGATGTAAAAAATAACAAAACCCTTATTATGCTTTGATTTTAAATGAAAAGCTAATATGGCAGAAGAAAAACAAACTGGGCAGGTGAAAGGAGAGGAGCGGGAGTCGGGGAGGGGACGGAAGAGGGGGAGGAAAAAAGCGGGGGAGCACACTCGCCACCTTACTGAAGACACCATGATGGTGACCCGTTCCTAACAGTGACAGCGAACACCTGGAGCCCAGGTGGAGGTACTTCACAGGTGTGGATTCATTCATCCCGCCCCGCAACCCCGGGTAGACAGTCTCCTTACTCCCATTTCAAGGTCAGGAAGCTGAGCCACAGAGAGGTTAAGAAACCTCCCAAGGTCAAGCAGCTAATAAATCAACTAGCCAATCTGATTGTCAAAATTCCTGAAATCCTCAGATAACAATATGGTACAAAAGTGTCCTATTATATTTTAAAATTATTTCAAATAGCTGAGGGAAAATTTGGCCTTGTTCCTAAATGAAAAATTAAAGAAAACAGCACATCGCCACATGTCAGGCCTGAACGAGCTTAGTGAGACACACACCCCGTCTTGAGGCTGCTGCTCCTAACGTGTTTTCCAGGCCAGGCCAGCAGCCACAGCCCCTCCTTCCCACTGAGCCCAGAAAGGGAAGGCATCTTTGGTGACCAAGGGTCCAAGACCTCAGGGCACGTGGAGAGTCCACGTGTGGCCTCTCCAATGAGGCCATCATCCCTGTGTATACTCTCTTGCCCACAGCGTTAGCAAGCATTAACAAAACAGAAAGTTCACTATTTCAAAACGTTAACTTACTAAAATCAGTGAAGATTTTTTTTCTCACCTAAACTGGGCCTTGATATTGCTGGGGCTTGCAGACCTGGTCTGTATTTCTTTCTCTTGCTTTTCCCTCAGGATCCTTTCAGCCAGCAGGAAGTAAGTGGCTGTGATGTGGTTGTATCTGTTGGTTTCCAGGGCTCTGAGGAGAGGAAGGGAGAGTGAACAGAAGTCACAGCAGCAGGTTTGCTTTTTACAAGCAGGGCTGATTTTTTTTTTAAAGTACAAGCAAATGAAATTCAGTGACTTGGAGTCTTTATAATTATGAAAGAACACAAACAAGAAAAAAACCCCACAAAAAAAGCTAGTAATTTAGATCACTCTTGAAATTCTAAAAAACCACTACATAAATCTGTTCAATTAGAAAGGAAAATCCAAAATGCTGATGGCAGCTGAGCTGGATGGCAGTTTTAGATGCGTAAAAAGTAACGGCGCTTCCAAGAATGTACACATTACCCAAAAATGTAATCTGTGTGTCAAGGTGTTTATTAAGCTGGCTTACTCGCTTCCATTAGAAGTATGAAATTAAGTTCTGTGAATGTGCACTGAAACACTACTATCAATTCTAAAAATTAGGAAGTTTTTATTTTTACTCTTGGCATTTACTGGAATTTTAGACATCAATGAATTCTTAATGTAATTGAGAGCACATCATTAGCATCTTCTTTGAATAAAATCAACGTATTCATTCATCCACGTCAGAAGGAATGCTCTCTGAGTACCTAGTCTGGCCGGGCACCGTGCTGGCTGGCAAAGTGTTGGGGTACAACGCCCTCGGCCGCACGGCCCCGCCTGCCCTCCTGCAGCTGGCCTTTCGTGGGACTAGCACGAGAGGATCCGCGAGGCCTAGAAGTACGAAATACGTAACGAGGCTCTCAGGAATGTTCTGTAGTTAGTGGGAATACACAAGGAACACTTAGGAAAGCGGCAATTACAGGGATCCCTTTTCACAAAACGTACAGAGGGCCACGGCTAATGGCAGCAGAGCGAGCTGAGGGACGAGACTGCACAGCGAGGGCCCAAGGTGAACCAACCACCGTTGTCTCTGAACGCAGGCATCACCCTCGAAAAGAGATACTGCCCATAATGAAGACCCGACACCAGCTGCGGGGACAGAAGCTCAGGGGTCCCCGCTCCTGCTTTACTCAGGGCGCGTGCTCACTAGGAATCCCCTGAACCATTTACATGGTGGCTCCTTTTGGACTTATAATTGAATTTACATGAATTAAATGGCTCTATGTGACACCATGGCAGGTATTTCTTTATTGAAGGTAAGAACATTAGGCCGATTCAGGGAAATAAAACTAGCCTTTGATCCAGTCAAAAATGAAATCATTTTTACACATTTCTAAAGTGAGTTTCCTTGGCTGGAATAGCAAGTGTGCCACCCTTCCTGTTCGTTTATGTCATCTATGTAATTGTGGGTCAATCTGTGAAAACTCATAATGCACTTAGAAGCCTGTAGAAATCTGTACTTAAACCAAAATTATGATCCTGGGTTTATTTTTATAAATCTTTCTTTCCATGTACTAAAAACAAGCTAAAGATATGTGTCCTTTATACAGACACCACCCTCCTTAGAGACCAGGCCCTCCAGGTGCCATGTGTGACAGTCCCACAGGCCGCAGGGGTCTGTGAGTCCAGCCTGCAGCCTCCGCTTCCCCGAGGTCAGGCAAGGGGGTGAGGTCTCTCGGCCATGCCGGAGTGGCCCTTCTGATGGGAACCCCTTTTTTGTACCTCATAGTATGTCCTCTTTCCATCATACCCAACTGTTTCATTCAAAAGGTTAAATTACTTTTGACTTTTCCTTTGTGGAAATGCTTCATATTTTTATAGAAAGGACCTCTTACAGAAATGAATCCTTGTTTTAAAAAAAGCAACTGCATCTTTATATTATCCTTGATTCCAAACTTCCTAGGTTAGTTTTAAAAAGTGAGGTGATTTCCAAGCTTCTTAGAGTATGAAATCCTTCTTTGGTATTAAAGGACTTAATTAACCTCTTGCGTATCTGGGGTCCCAGGGTGTAGCAGGAGGGGCTCTTCAGGCCCAGAGAGCACGTATTTTAGGCTCTGTGGGTCGCGTGGTCTTTCACAGCCACTCCGGAACTGTAGCTCAATGCAGCCATGGACAACACATGAATGAACGGGCATGGCTGTGGCCACTGACGCTTTCCTTACAAAAATGTGTGACTGGCCCATATGCCAACCCGATTTAGAGGATGTGAGGTGCTGCCCCGTTTTTCCTGCTCTCTGTGGGAACCAGTGGGAGACAAGGGGATGAAGAGGATGCTGCTATGGACAACGCATGTGCTGGGGTATAAGGCAGGCTGCTCCAACACACCCTGGTAGGAAGGCAGGAGGGCCACAACGCAATGACACCACCGAGCAACGGTTTCCTTGGGCATGAGTATAAAAATAAAAACAACAAAATGCATGAGCCAGGCACTGGGCCAGGAACTCCAGAGAGAAATGACATAAGCCCTGCCGACTGGGCTCCCCATCCATGACACAGTGTCCACAGGCCCTGGCAGGACAGAGGGGCCCATTCCAAGAACCCCAAGCCCGTGGCCCTGCACAGAGGGGTGCTGACGTACTCCACAATGGCGTCTCGATCCGCTATGTCCCCGAGCACCATGCGCTGAATGATGCTGTTGTGCTCCTCTTCCGAAAGGTTCTTGTAGGACACCAGGGGGATGTTGTACTTTGTGGCTGGGGAAGGGTCCACTCCCTGAAGCCAAGGATGGTTTTCAATCTCTTCTAAAGACGCCCTTCTCTTGGGATCTCTCTGGAGCATCCGTGTGATCAGGCTGGAAAGGAAGTAAAATCTATCATTAAAGCAAACTGCTGGCAGGGGGCTTAGGAATGGTGGATGACTGTATTAATCCAAATTGCTCCCTCCACTTAATACCATCAATTTCATTAGGTTCACTTGTGGTGGTGGTTGGGCAGATGGAAATAAAGAAAATTTAGTGCCATCAGATTCATAAAATAAAAAATCTCAATTGCTAGATATCCTGAGAAGCCAAACACACAAATACAGTTTCCTATCATCTAGAATTAACTCTACGTATCAACAATATCTGTCCTTGAATTAACTGTGGCTTAGGAGCATACCAGAACCAGAATCAAGGATCAGCAATGACATACAGAATAGAGTGCATGGGCCAACTTGTTTCAGGACGAATACATGACCCTCCTAATGAAAACAGCCAAAATGCCATATATTTTTAGACATATACTTTGTTTAAAGGTATTGTGTTTGCAAAATAATAAAGGAAGAAAGAGAGGAAGGAAGGAAGGTAACTCTAGATTTTATTAAATTAAGTATACAAACATGTATGTGTATGTTAAAATAGAAAGGAAACTCGCTAAAATAATTGATTATAACTTCCAAGTTAGGTGAGCGGAAAAAGTCAAATAAGGAGAAAAAGAAAAACCTCCATCATCGCAAAAGACAGGATAAAAAGAAAAAAAGGAAAAAGGAAAGGTAGGACAAATACAAAGCACATAAAAAGATGACACTAATACATTTACATTTATCAGAACAGAATACATATAAATGGAATTAACTCTCCAATTAAAAGACAGAAATGCTCAGATGAGATTAAAAAAAACCCAGCTCCCAGTTGTTAAAAAGGATGTACTTAAAACCAAGACAATGAAAGGCTTAAAAAAAAAAAAAAAGGAAAACTATACAGTACATACAAGGTAACCAAAAGCAGATTAACTAAAACTAGATAACACAGATTGTCTTTAAGGCAAAAAGCATTAGAGAGAAATAGTAATACAAAGGTTCAATTCACCAGGAAGAAACAAGTACCAAAATGACATTCAAAACAAAACCTGACAGATCTCCAAGAATAAAATAATAATTCCACCATCATAGTGGAAGAATATCTCAATAACTGTTAGATCAAACAGTCCAAAAACTCAGAAAGGATTTAAGTAATTTTGAACAGCGTAATTAACAAGCTTGATCTTAAGAATTTGTGTAGAACTTTGACCTCAACAATTGGAAAATACATTCTTTTCCAGAACAAAAGAATTATTTATAAAAATTGACTCCATGCTAGGCCATGAGCAAAGTGCAACAATGTGCAAAAAAATCTAGTACCATACAGACTATATTACATTCTTGGATCACAATGCAAGTAAGTTAAAAATGAATAACAAAGCTAATTAGAAAAACTGTACATCTGAAAATTTAAAACACCCCTCGAAAACTCATGGGTCAAATAAACCAAGAAAACTAGAAAATACTCAAAACTGAATAATAACAAAAGGACTAAAGTCAAAGCTAGTAGGATACAGCTTAAATGATACTAGGAGGTGATTTATAGCCTTAACTATTACATTAGAAAAGGAAAATTTGGGAGCTGAGTATCCAACATAGAGGATTAAAAACAAAAGAATTAGCCCACTAAGGAGGTAGGAGGAAATAATACAGACAAGAGAAAAGAATATTAGTAACATAAAACAAAAAATATAGTGGTAAATTAATAAAGACAAAGGTAGTTATTTGTAAGACTAATAAAATTAACAAATCCCAGGCAAGACTGATCAAGACAAAAATGAGAGAAGGCAAAAACGCTCAATATTGGAATGAAAAAGGGCAATATTCCCACTGATCTACAGACTGTAAAAATATTATTAGAGGATATTATAAACCCTTGAGGCCAATAAATGTGAAAATTTAGATAAAATGAACAAGTTCCTTAAAAAACACAACTTAGCAAAATTGACCCAAGAAAAAGTAGAAAACTAAATGGTCCTATGATTATTAAAAAGATAATTCCTCTAGGAGGGAGACACAGACAAGGCTCTTCTATTTCTTATGCTGGATTATGGGCATAGAGGTGTTCATTTTATTACACACATATTTTAATCATTCTTTTGGATAATATATGTCAATATAAGTCTGTTTTAGTTTTTTCAGTAGAAGCTATGGAGATACTCCTTGAATTACAAACATCTGACATGCAATACACACACCATATATCCAGATAGCAGCCCTGCTTCCTGGGGTAGAGAATAATAACAGTAAGGGGATAAACATCATCAATATTCATATTGAGTGTTTCTGATGTTCTGATGTGCTAAGGACTGAGCTAAGAGTTTTTTTTGTTTTGTTTTGTTTTAAATTGGGGAATTGGGGGATGTGAACAGCGCTGGGGAATTGGGGAAGGGGAACAGACAAGTTGCTGTCCTTTTGTTCTTCAGTCTAGTTGTGGAGGATGTTGCTTCACTGGCCCAAGTTGGCACCATCATTGTGCTCTTCCCGGGCAAGGCAGATCGGTCGCCAGCTTCTAGATGGCCGCTCACAGTGGCTGCTGGCCGCTCACGCTGGCTGCCGGCTACACATGGTAGCTTATGGCAGCCCACTGCAGCAGGGGCTGCAGCCTACGCTGTTGCCGGCAACTCATGGCAGTCCAGCTCCAGGTTGAGCTGTTGTTCAGCATCTTAGCTGTAGAGGGCAGTGTCACTGGCCCTCATATGTGGGATCCGAACCGGGGCCCTCTGGCGTCCCAAGCCAGCTCTTAACCAACGCGCCACTCGGCCGGCCCTGAGCTAAGAGCTTTAAATACATTAATTCAGTTAATTTTCACAATAACCCTAAAAGGTAGGTTCTACCATTCTCACATCATTAGTAAAAGGAGAAGCCAGTCTTTGAATCCAGAGTTTGAAAACCTAAGTTCTTAACTATCTAGCACATGGCCTAAGACAGGGGCTCTGCCTGGAGAAAAGATTCCTCAGGCTATCAGACTGTCAGCTAATGGGAAAAACTCAAAACTGTTACTACAGCAAAATCCTTTCAGTGGTAGCTATAATCCCAGCTGAACTTATTTAAAAATATCACCCAGAACGTCAATGAAATGCTGAACTTACAACAGTTATTTTATTCCATTCCTGCATTTCTCACTACGTACATCATAATACTGTACAGCACTTTAAATTCCAAATAATCAACTTGGGTGTACGTTTGGTTGCTGGCTTCCCAGAGTCCCATAAACCAAAACAAAGCTCTTCAGTCAGCTGGAGGTAGGGGTGTGTGAATAAAATTGTGAGACATACTATATAAATCCTAAAATGATGTGCTGATGGTCTATTTCAGTAAAGAAAATGCCCTAACTCGTCTCTGGAACTTAAAATAATTCCAGGTGGTCGTGCTTTTTGCTAATGCACAAAGTTCTCATAATGTCTTCAAGTCCAAGTAGCCAGCTTGGACTGAAGGGGCATGTAATAGGCTTCTGGAAAACTGGCATATTTAAGAAAAGTAATACATTCTATACTCTAATATTACATTTCAAATTATATTCTGGTGTTAACTCCCCCAAACGCAAAAGACTAGAAATATTAAGTTCAAAAATTAAAATGAACACAGATACCACATACTATTTTTTTTTAACTTACTCTTTACACTCTTTAGACACATGGGATGGTACTGTGTATTTACAATCCATGATCATTGTCAATGTTTCACTGTCGTTGGCCTCTTGAAAGGGTGGCTGCCCACACACCAACATGAAAAGGATCACTCCCAGACTCCATATATCTATAAATCAAAGACACACTGTTAAATACTGGACTAGTTAGAAAACCAAGGCCACTTGAGTAAAAGTAGACAAACAATATTAGTTTATTTTGAACAATCAAAAGCATTTACATTTCAAAGTAAAAAGATATAGGGAAGAAAAGCCTCAATAAGGCAGGGAAGGATTCTGTTCTGTTCACTTGTTTATATTCACTCACAGCCCAAGCAGTGCCAGGCACGTGGCAAATGGTCAATAAATGTTCAATGAAGAGATGAATTAATTCATTTGTTAATGGCAAGAACATCAACTGGGAAGTACCCTATTAAGGTTCCCAAACTGATGGGGACACACACGGCTGTTTTTCCCATTACATTACACACCAGAGATAAAACTAAGATATTAATACTCTGAGACACGAAAAGGATTTTTTTTGCCTAAGTTCACAATTATCTCAGTTGTTCTTTACCTCAATCCTGGTGAGATAACCAGATCACATAACTCCTGGTCATTTTATAGAAGAGAAATTAAAGCTCAAAGAGGAGAGAAATATTCCTGGGCTGTCAATAAGGAAAAAAGACTGGTTATGTATTATTTGAGAGGAAAGAACTAGACTGGCAGGTATAAGTAACCAGGAGGCACACTTTGGCTTAAACACAGCGGGTGCTACTTAAGCTGTTAAAACACTGGAAAAGGGAGTAAGTCTCCCATCACTATTTGTATTTCAGCAAAGGCTGGGCAACCATCTGTCTAATATTTCCGCATAAGGTATTCCTGCACTGGTTGTAGGTCTGGACGAGCTGATATCTGAGGACCCTGCCAACTCTAGCATTACACGAACTCCTATAATAATAAATAGCCCCTTCCTTCTTGCCATTAAATAAAAAAAAACAACAAAGCCCTCAAATGGATGGAAAAACGACGTTTTTTCAGATGAAAAAAAGGATGAATCCTTTTAGGAAGGACATCATATAAGTTCATTCAAAAAACTAAAGTATAGACATGATTGTATAAACATTCATATTAGAAGAGATAAATTCAAGAAGCTTTCTAGAACACAAAAGGCTTAGAAGAGAATGGAAGGGCAGGCCATGTGGCCTTTGTCACCACATCTCAACTGCTGTTTTCATTTAAGCTTAAACACCCCAAATAATGTAGGTTCCATGTTATTTTCCAAGAGAATTAAAGCTTGTCAATAAAATACCTTTTCCTTGGTCCAAACTAATCAAAGAAGGTAATAAAGGCAAAACCCCCAAAGTGACACACACTGTGATTTTTTTTATATGTATAATAAATTTTACTAAGGATGCTCCAATGGGAATTATTGAAGCAGATGGAAAAAGCTGCTGAAATTAAAACCTTTATATAATGACAATGAAAGGGACGTAAGGACCATTCAGTCCCAAGCCTAAAAGATCTGCAGTGTCCCTAAGAGGTCTGCCTGGCATTGCTTGGTGGGGACACGAATTATTGGACTTACTGCTCCAGGACAGTCAGCTGGCTCAGGACTCCATTCCACCGACTGACCCACATTTCTTTACCTTGATCTTGGAACCCAGAGGGCCATCCCCATTCAAAGTCAAACAGTGAGTAATGGTGACTAGCAGCACCTGCTGTTTAACTATCAAGCGAGAAGAACTTATTACCCCAATTCTAGTGGTAGTACCTCATTCAGATTCTTAAAGGAAATTTACATAGGTTGATATTTAACTTAAACCTTTTCTGTACAACTTGAACCTGCTATTTTTAGTCACCTGCCCCAACTCTCAAGCCACCACTGTGACAATGGCAATTACAACTGTTATCCCTTTAATGAACGTGTCCCTCATTTTACAAAACAATTATATTCCAGAAATTAACTATAAAGTAAACCCACCTTTTCACTGATGTTCATTACACAAAGAGGGAATTTCTCCAAGTTTTTGTTTATAAGATATACTTGGCAATCTCCTCCACAAAGGGCAGATTTTTAAATGGCTTACAAAAAAATGCATAAACAAAAATCAGGAGAGTTAAAATAAAAATTTTCTGATTGGTAAAATATTAACAATGTCTAATGATACTACTATACCCAAACCTAACCATTAATACATATGTATTTGCGATACAATAAATTCATAATTTCCGTACAAATCCTACAAAAACAATTTTTATAAAATGAGTTTGTTTACATTATTCCTTCTACCACACTTCAACTGTGGATACACTAGTTTGGTTTTTTACTTTTTCTTTATGCTAAACTGGAGATGATATCTGACAGTGCAATTACACAAAACTGATGTTTTAAAAATATAATGAATAATGTAAGTATCGACTGATGACTACCCAATACCCAAATTCTTATTTGGTTAAAGAAAACTTTCTTTTTCTGTTCAATGTTAACCTCAACAGCTACTAGGCAATCCAACCATTTGGAAATGTTCTCTTCAGGATCATTTGCCCAAGCAAACCAACACACTCTGTTTGTTAGGAAGTGATGCATGATTAGAAGAATAAAAATGAAAACCAACATAAATACACACATACATA